GGGGGGGCATTAAAGACAAACACAGAAGAACTGGTACAGGTGTATTTTCCTCTGGAAGAGAGACACAGAAAACATGTTGATAATTACAACAAACATGTAGATGAGTGAAACTAAAAATAACAGCAGAAATGTGGTCAGTTTGTGCTCCAGCAGTCCAAGTCTACAGCAGAACTATGGAATAACTCAGGAAACCTAAGTCTAACTATAGGATTCATCAAAAAGGAAAGTCTTCAGTCTAAATGTTAAAAGTAGACAGAGTGTCAGCCTCAGACAGAAACTGGAAGTTGGTTCCACAAGAGAGGAGCTTGAGAACTAAAAGCTCTGCCTCCCATTCTACTTTTAGAAACTCCAGGAACCACAAGTAAACCTGCAGTCTGAGAACAAAGTGCCCTGTTAGGAAAGTATGGAACAATAAGATGTTTAATATATGATGGAGTTTGGTTGTTAAGAGCTTTGTATGTTAGGAGTAATATTTTAAATTCTATTCTGAATTTGACAGGGAGCCAGTGGAGAGAAACTAAAACTGGAGAAATATGATCTCTCCTTCCAACTCTCATTAAAACTCTAGCAGCAGCATTTTGGATTAACTGAAGACTTCTTAAAGAGTTTTTTGGATGCCAGATGATAAAGGATTACAGTAATCCAGTCTAGATGTGATAAATGCATGAATCAGTTTTTGTGCACCATTTCTGGACAAGATGTTTATAATTTTAGTGAGATTATACATGTGGGATAAAGCGGCCCTGGTAACATTTTTTCATGTAGAGGCCTTTCATTTCCAAAGGAAATCAAAGTTTATTCCTAGGATTCATAGGTCCAAAAATTATAACTTTTGTTTTGTCTGTGTTTAAAAGCAGAAAATTAAGAATCATCCATTTTTAAAAATGTTTTTAAGACATAATCTAAGTAACTGATTGGATTCATCAGGTTTTAGTGATAAATATGACTGAGTATCATCAGCGTAACAATGAAATGTATCCCACACTGTTTAATAATTTTACCTAATGGAAACATATATAAAATAAAGAGGATTGGTCCAAGCACTGAACCCTGAGGAACTCCATGACTAACTTTGGTGTAAGAAGAAGATTCATTGTTAACGTTTAATTTACTGTTATTATAGCAAGGAGGATCCATCAGCTGCAGGGACTAAGGAAGAAGCTGATTCAGGTACAATGTCATGGAGATCCAGAGGCATTTCTGGATGGAAAGCAAAGTTTGAACGATATAAGCAATGAAGAGTTCGATAACTTTATTGTGGATGACCATCATGGCATCATCTACTGTTACATTCCAAAGGTGATGTATGCACCATCTTGTGTATCCTCACCATGACAAAGTGCCAGCATGGTTACAGATTCTGACCCTTATCTTGTCTGCAGGTGGCGTGTACCAATTGGAAAAGAGTAATGTTTGTTCTGAATCAGAG